CTTTTCTTTGTAATTTTGTAGCCCCAAGGATAAAACGTATAACAGCTGACTCCCATATGTGTACCTTCCTGAGAGAAGAAGCTAACAAGCTCAGACCAAAATAATGCAAAAATGAAATAAATGTTCTACTGAAGATAATGACTAATGCTCCCTTTGCTCCAGATGAAATCTATTTGTAATACTTGAAGCAGATCTTAAGCCACATCTGAAGGAAACAATAAACTCTGCTTTAAGAGCCTATTTTGGGGATCAATTAAAATAGGCTCGTGGCACAAGATTCACCTACAAATAAAATATTATTAATGCATTTGGAAACCTCTTAAAACTCATTTTAGTTTCATGCATGTTAAGAGTGACATCTCACCTACTCAATCCTGTTATAGCTATTATGCAAAAAATATGTGTTGTGTGTTAACACACACTGCTATACAAAGGCTTGCAATTAGTTTTGTGAGTAAAACAAATGTCTAGAAAAGGGAACTTTTACATGAACCATTTTAAGAGACATGAAGAGGCTGGAAAATACATCAACTCTTCAATGGCTCAAAAAACACACTACGGTAAAGGGCCTGCTAAAAATATCTTCTGCCCTCTTAGCAGTAAATACCCTGGAATGCAGTGGATACTGGTTCAGTGGAAGCATACCCAGAAGAAAGGTTGGCCTGATGGTGCACAGTTCCCAGACTGAAAAAATGCACTTCCTAGCCAAGGGTCCTGGAGCCACCCAGAAAGTGAATGAATATGAGACCCTCTATTCTTCCCCCACCCCAACACACACACTTGTCTCTTATTCTCAGAAACTTTAAGCCACCCACTCATGGCCCTAAAGCAATCAGGAGTTACTAAAACTCTAATCTGAAGTAACTCTGTTGCACAGCTGGAGAGGAAAGACAGATTTGGTGAGTTATTTGAGGCTGGACTGCATATAAAAAGCAAAAATCTGGGTGTGTGTGTGTGAGGCCTAGTGGGTCTGTTCCTGCTCTTGCACACACTATGATAAATATTGATTACAGTGGAGGAATTGCCTGATTTACAACAGTTTACATGAGAGAAGAATCAGAGACTGTACAGGGGTGCTGGAACAATTTGTATACTGGGGGAGCTGGGAGCCATTGAACCAAACTGTAAACCCTGGATATGATGAAAGCCAGAAGGTGCTGCCGCAACCCCAGCACATCTAGTTTCAGCACCTGTGGGGCTGTATCATCCCAACTTCTATATCTCACATCTGTCCCAGCTGTGGTTTAAGTCTGAGAACAGATGTGTTCAGAAATCTCAACCATGTGAAAAAGAGCAGAGACCAGTGTGGGCTGGAACCAGTCTTTATAGGACCTTTTAGAGACTATGTCTACACTGCAGCTGGGAGGTATGTTTCTCAGGGCAGATAGACAGATTCATGCTGGCTCTGCTCAAGCTCATATGCTAAAAATAGCAGTGTGGATGTTGCTGCATGGGTGACAGCTTGGGCTAGCTACCTGAGTCCAAGGCCACCCAACTCCCTGGGTCTGAGCTCAGGAGGCTAGCTCATGCCACCGCCTGCGCTGCCATGTCCACACTGCTATTTGTAGTGCACAAACTTGAGAGGAGCGGGCACGACTCTGTCTGCCAGCATTGGGAATCACACCTCCCAGGTGCAGTGCAGACATACTGTTAGGGGAGGGGGCATGACATGTCTGAACACTCCAATAATGCAGTGGAAGCAGTGAAAGCGCTCCTCCTTCACGTGCCAGCTAGCTTTCTTTGAATCTTTGAGAAAAAATGCTACCTGAGATGTACTGGCAGGGCATAGCAGGGAGATCTGCACTGCTACTGCCCATACTGTATGTTTATGGTCTAGTTACGTCAAAATAACAACTTGCCAGGGAATTCAAGTCACTTTTAAAAACAAAAATAAGATGGGAAAAATAAAACACAATCCTCATTTTTAAGCAGGGTTATCCTAATTTTTAAGCAGGGTTTTTGTTTTGTTTTGTTTTTTTGCCTTCTACTTGGCATTCACATTCCTCTAAAGATTGTGGAATACAGCTGTCCCGCCCTTATTTGCATCTCATATTTCACCATATGGTGACCATGTTTATAAGTGTTCATCGTACAGACAAAGCTCATTTTATCTCACGTCAACCTGACCGGCATAAGAAAGGCTCAGGGATGCATAACTATGGAGTGTTAAACGTGGTATTTGTTCAGTCAAATTTTCAAAGACAAACACTTGGTCATTCCACAGTGTTGTTTACATAACAAGACAAAGATTTTCTTCTGAGGGCTCTGTTCCCCCTGAGCAACAGGAAATGCTTGCTTGCTTGGTCACTAATCCTGTTAACAATGCGTCTAGAGCATGACATGGTATACAATATCATGCAGGTATGCATTCTTTTGCATCAAAAGAACTGTTACTATCATGAGAGGAACTCAAATCCATGACATACTCTATTAATGACATTATATTGAACAAACCAATTCCCTTCTTTAAACAACATAAATCATGTTCAAAAAGGATTAATTTCATGCAATGAGCAGTCTCTTAATTTAGCATTTTCCCCTACTTTAAGGTGAGATTTCCTTGAACATCACTATGTAAAAAATGGCATCTTCCTACCCAGCAGATCTGGTCCCTCTGTATTTCTATGTACTTAAGGGACAATCTTTGAACCACTTTTAAATCCTATTAAAACTGCAAAGCCAAAACAGCTATGGGAGGTTGGTTTTTTTCTACCTTGCATATCATCTACAGATTTTAAAAAAATAATCCAAATGCAGGGCCAAATTCTATCTTTATTCACATCTGCACAACTCTACTGAAAACAAGAGTTGCATGGGCATAACTGAAGGCAGAATTTGGTCTATAGAATCTTTACTACTGGCGATGTAGCATGAAACAGAAAGAATCTGTCTGGACTTGCATATTTTAGGCTCACTTTGCAGGACTGGCATTTAGAAAAACGACTTTTTCTTGCAAACTCAACATTTTTGTCCAGAGTCACTGAGAGGGATGGTCAACATGGAACCTCACAATGCAATTTTTAGAGTTACTTTTCAGGGATAACCTCATTTTAAAGAAATAAAAGGGTAAAAGAGCCTTCAAGTATAAAATGCAAACTTTTATACAATTTCAGTAAGGAAATTTTAACTAAAATTAAACTTCTGAGGAATCTATTTACACAAAATTTCAGTGGTATAGAAAGGTCTGATAAAGCATATGTTAAAACCTTATCGTTTCCGCAAAGTGAGGAAGACTGTGTCCCCATATAATACATGATTGAAATTCTACTTATATCTTTGCTACTTTTAGAGAGTTATTTTTAACACACATACACACAATGTGCTATTGTGATCTCTAATGTGATACCACCAGGTGTTTTACATCCCATATTAGGTTTTGCATTAAAAATTAAAAAGGAAAACACTAATATTAATTTAAAAATTTAAATGTATTATAGGCAGAGCAGGTACTATCACCTGTTAAGGTTGCCTTATAGCCCCATTATAAGACCCCGTTTTTGATTGTTTATAACTTTGCTGAATTTTAGCTGTCCAGGCTGACATTTTAGATGCCAGATGTTTGTTTGTTTGTTTTTTAATTTCAACAAAAACGGTTCAACTGTGTCTGAGAATGAGGCTAGTGAAAAATACATTGTTTTGCCCAGGTTAAAAAATCCTGGTGACTTTTTCTTTGAAAAGACCACCTTCACAATGCTTTGAAGCAGAGGGCTCAAATTGGTAGGGGTGGGACCTTCTGTCAGGGAAGTGCATTTTGACATACCTGTGAAAATCTGCCCAAATTTAGCCTAGTTACAATTCTTTGAAAAATTGCTTGCTCATTACTTTTAGTAGGTAAAATCTCTGAAGATTCCCTCCTTATCGTGCAAGCTTGAGCTCTTCCAGCTCCTATCGGGACCAGATTGTTCATATGCTACCTCCACAGAGTGACTGAGTGCGCTCTATCCCTTCATGGTTCCGATATTTGACCCTTACTTCAATGGGACTTCTCATGTAAATGAAGCTACTAATATTCACAGGTCTCATATTAGGGCTAGAAGCTAACTGCAGCATCTCAGATAGCACTATGTAAAAACTGAAAGCAAATGCTAACTTTTAAAGACAGCCTCTGTACAGTTATGAAAAACTAAGTTAGTATGTTCTTAAAATACACTTTCAGTTTATAATTGTAAATGTGTTATTTAAGTTGACAATGGTCATTTAATAAACGTTATCATCATTAGCAAGTTTAGCGTATTTTACAAATATACACATATATTAAAGATTATAAAGATTTTTGAATAAATCTGTTGGAAAAAGTTAGCTGGTTAAGAAAATAATCTGAATTGTTGCTTTCTTCTGTCCAGAAAATGGCGTGGCTTTCCTGTGTAGTCTGAAACATTCAGTCTACATGTTGTGACTCAAGATGCAAATGCCAAAAACACCCAGATGTAATATCTCAAAGATTTAGCTGGATTCCATGTAAACTTCCAGAATATGAAGCAGTTCTAAATCAACTGCTATGCCAAAGTTAAAATTTTAACAATATATCCAGACTGTCCAATGTATATGCTTTGCAGTCCTCTCAACTACATGTGCTCTGCCCCAAGAGATAAACATAAATATACAACCAGTCTTGAAAAATTTTGAACATAAACATGCTGCAGAGTTCATATATGGAAATATGGATTTAAGAATCGCATGTGCTTCATCCTAGCTGCAATGCACAACTGGAATCAACTGAGAACTGTTCACAGCCATACATGTGAATGGTGCACATCCAGGAGCATTAACGGTACAATGTGTGTTAATCCTGTGTATTAAAGTTATTGTCCAATAACACCTTATCATATAAAAAAACATGAACTAATCCATTTTTAAAGGACATGATTAAAAACCACTTTCTACCATAAGACTAAACCTTTGAACTGACCGACCACACATTTGCCTTCTAATTTTTGTTTTGTGTTCAAAGCACAATTAACATTAAATGTTTCATTTACATCTTTCAAGCAATTTCTTACCTCAGGCCCAGGAGGACCAGATGGTCCCTGGGGTCCAGGATCTCCGATTTTTCCCTAAAAAAAAAATCCAAAAATTATAACTTAGATAGCAAATTAAAGCTTTACAAGAAGCAGATTTGTATTAGATTTTTGAAACAACTTAAAAACATCAATATATATAATGAAAAAATATCTCTTAAACCTGTGTGCATATTATATACACACACACACGAAGGGAATATGAGGGTTACAAAACTAAGTTGATATAGATACTTTCAATAGGTTTATTTGCCCATCCCTGCACCATTAAAATCAATGGGAGTTTTGCCATTGGTAGCAGGATCTGGTCCAACTACACATCTTGGTGGTTCCGCTACACAAGATTTACACATACATTTTTTTAAATTGCATGACCGTATTTTTCTAAATCTTGATCTCCTTTCCCCCATTTCTTTCCCCCTGTTGTTGCTGTCGCTGAATGCAGTGTAAGTGAGCTGTAGCTCACGAAAGCTTATGCTCAAATAAATTGGTTAATCTCTAAGGTGCCACAAGTACTCCTTTTCTTTTTTCTAAAATTTAGGGCCTTCTTCCTATAAATGTGTTTAATGTTACTGAGGTTTGCAAAGTTAAGCATGTGTTTGCTTCCAATACTTTAATTTAACAAAGCACTTAAGCATCTGATTATTTTAAGTTATTCAGCAAAAAGCACATGCTTAACTTTAAATTTAATGGGACTACCCTCACTGCATAAAGTTAAGCATGTGTGCATAAGTCTTTTTGCAAGACCAAGACTCTACTTTATGAGTTCCCCCAGGTAAGGAAAAGTGCTGTTTTTTTGTTTTTTGTTTTATTGCTCTGTAAATTGCCTACCACGTTATGGGTGCTAAATAGCAACACCATCATCACAGTTCAAACTGTGCATAGGAAAGCTCCAACTCCACTGACAAGTTCTAGTGACATATTAAGTGGGCTGGTTGTGTTTGCCACTATGAATTATGCAGCAAGTCAGTCTGGCCATGGCAAAAAAAAGAGCAAAAGTCTCAAATTTTTGGTAATGAGAATTCCAAGACCCAACAGTTGCATTATTACAATCAAAATATCCCTTCTTCTACTGCTTAAACCATTTTAAGTGCTGTCCCTTGCCCGCCACCACAATCCTGCAGCATCAGCAGTGCAAAAAGGCAGGTAAAAGACTGGCAATACTACATCCTCTTCAGTGCTGCTTCCTTGTCACAGGGTCTTCAAAGACTGAAGGAGCAGTGGTATGGCAGAGTTGTCTAAAAGCAACTGACAAGCACACAGGCTTAATCATAAGCCAGCAGAACTTCTAAGAATGAATTCAAGCCTTACTTTATTTGTATCTTGGGGTAAGTGATTTATTATTATGGTGATGATTAAGTGAGCCCTAAATATCCAAGGGACCTTCTACACTCCATGGGAAATCTGAACTACCAGATTAATGACTGAGCAGCAAAATGCCCTCCTCTGGACCAGAACCTGTTCTCAGTTACACCAGTGGTATAACTCTCTTGACTCCAACGGTGTTAACTCCCAATTTACACCAACGCTAGTGAAATCAGAATTGTTCCCCAAAGCATTTGGATTGGCTGAATGACACAAACAAGTATCAATCCTCGTGACACATACTGATGTAACCAGAGTAAACAAAATAAGTGTTCAAACCTACAGGAGGCCCTGGCTTTCCTCTGATTCCTGATGGTCCTGGCAAACCAACAGAACCCTTAAGAAAAAAAAAATCTGTTAAATATTGTTGTTGAAAATTATTTATAACATTGCACGTAGTAAAAAACTGATTATACTTTCCCACTTGTGCAAAATTAATTAAATATCAGCTCAACACTCAGACCAAATTTCAAATCCATTGAGCAGGATCTGAATCAAACTCTTACATTCATGTTACAGCAAAATAATTCAGTTAGTTTATGCTATTTTAATTAGTTGCACGGCAACAACAACAACAACATATCATCTTAGAATTTTTATAAAAACAAATCCCTTGGGTAATTTAGGAGTTATGGATTAGCTACCAGAGATTCCATTACTCAAAGAGGAGCAAAAAGCTTGTTTATTAACTATTTTCATTTTATCCAGGGGCATCACATGGGCTGTCTGATAACACAGTTTTGCCGGGCTGCTGACCACAATTTTCAGGTTTTTTGGGTCAATAAAACTGTAGGCTCCACTCCAGGGTGCTTCTTGGCTTCTGTTGCAAATGACCTGTATAACAAGCTCTCAGTAAGTTTTGGTGGGAATTAGACTGCTCTGTCCTCCCTTTTCTTACAGCATGTTTTCTGACATGCATAAGTGCACTCATGGCAGCCAGAATTTGGCCCATACATTTTACATGCCTCTGATCATTATTTTCACAAAGAAATTAATTAAAATAATGGTTCAGAAAATAAAATAGTGCTGGGGTATTCAACTGATATCGCCGAATTCTATTTGATTGTAAATTACTTGCTGCAACTTAAAAAAAGAAAAGGTCATTGGGATTATTAGACCAGAAGATATGTCAAAAAAGTGCTGTCCTAATTTACCTTGTCTCCTGGATATCCCAGCTCTCCCGGCTCTCCTGCAATGCCTTGTTCACCCTAAACAACATATTATTTTAAACAGACATATATGCAGCTTAAATGGTGTATTTTTCAGATTCACAAAAGCAGAAAGACTTAAATCAATGTTCAGTATTTAAAACTATAACATGGTTTTTTGAAGAACAGTGCACGGTGTACCGCTGTAGGACCCAATCCTGCAAACATGACTAACACAGCGCTTGACAGCACTATTCATGGTAGTCAGCACTATGCCCAGTAATGTTTGTAGAATCACACCCTCAGTTTGCAATAGCTTGATAAAAAGAAAACAAAAGAGGAAAAAAATGAAAAAGGGGGCTTTGCAAAACAGATGTGAGAAAGACTGTCTAAATGTAATATATCTCTATGAGAATGGAAATATTTAGATCACCTTATCACCTTTCATTCCAGGCTGCCCCATACTCCCTGGAAGACCCTATTAAAAATTAAAAAACAAACAAATAATGTTTGACTATTATTTGAAAAATAGTCAAGGCAATTGGCAAATGGTATTGTGAGTTCTGCTTAATGCCATACCAGAGGCCCAGGAATTCCAGAAGGTCCACTCGGTCCCACAGGCCCAACAACACCCTAAACAACAGAAAATAAGATGCATTAAACTTTTACTTACAGGGGGACTGCTTCCTGAATGATTCAGGGAACTGGAAATGCTATAAAGTATCTTTTGCTTCTATGTTATTGATTGCGTTCCAGCCCAGATTGGCAGTGACTGAAAGTGTTTTCATCTGTTTGGAGATGCAAATCCAGGCACTCAAGGACAAGTATCCAGATCACAAAACCTCCACCATTACTGGCATCCTCTATCTCAGCAGAAGCACCATGAACTAAACTACCCTCTCATTCCTAAATGTCATGCACCCAGAAAAGGATAGATGCATATCTGGCAGTGTGAGAAAGCTTGCACTTGTATTGTAACTGTACAGTCTGTACCTGTTCAGTACATAAACATAAAAACTTCAGTCCATGCTGGGACTGCCAAATCCAGCCCTTTTCTGTCAGCACCAAATTTGATTTAAATTAATTATTCTGCTTTGAAACGTGACTCTTGTAAAGGAATCTCAGTGATTTCCATATCAAGTACACCCAATATACAAATGAAAAGATGCATTTTTCCTAAGTACCAGCTGTGCACATTTAGCCTAAACTCAAGCAGCCAAGCTGGGTTCTTTCATTCCCACGCATCTTCACCAGTAAATAAAGGTTAACTATATCAAATTAATTACTATACTACTCCTCCAGGTGATTTAAACTTGCACTTCCACTACTAGCTGCTGCAAGAGAAGAAACAGAGAAAAAATTAAAGGTAAAACTAAAAGAATCAACAGTGATATTCATGCATGATGGTTAGATGAACATGAGAAATGATCTGATAATGGCTACAATCATCAATACAGAGAAAAACGCTTTTCTGCTTCCCGCCATTGATTCTACAATTTGAAAAGAAAACAGCAAAATGGTGTGTCCCAGTTGCTGTAGATGCCATCCAAGAATGCAAAGAAAAGTATGAGGATGAGGTCTTTCATCATTTGCTGAGATAATGGAAATAATAGAGAAGATGAGAGAGCTTCCCAGGTGCATCCTCCTGCACTTCTGATATATTCAGTACTTAAAACAGCCCGAAAACACATTTTGAAAGTTCAAAAATCCTTCTGCAGCCACCAACAGCCTCATGGTTAGTTGACTGAAAAGAGAAGATTGACTACTCAGCTTCCCAATGATGCCTGCCTGGTAAAATTATCAGGAAAACTGTCTCTCTACATCTGCATCCAGCTTCCATGACTGCTTAGAAGTGTTGCTTTTTAAACAGCAATATAATGATAAAATGCTTAATAAGATTAAACTATTGGAAAGGGAAGGACAAACAAAAAGAAGATAGGAATAGAGGTCAGGAAATGGAAGACTGAATGAGACACTGTGTGCCGGGGTGTGATGAACAGTAGCTTTCACAGTATTTGACTCTCCCTGTGCCTACACTGTCCCCCTACCAGCTTTCCATACGACTGTTTGGGGAAGATCACATTTTCTTTGTATTCAAACAGTTACTCTTCTAGGCTTTGCCTCTTCAAAGTCAAAGCTTAATTTCTCTCTGAGACACCCATCACTGACTGCCCGAAATAACAGTTCTGAGATTCAATTAAATTGGTGATTTTACAAACGCAAGACAGAGAAAAAGTGTAAAATCAAAGGTAGTACTAGGCTAATACTTCTAAAAATATTGCTAGACAGGCAGAAATGTTTATTTTGTAAAGTAAGAATTTATTATCCAGATCCAGAAATGGCAGAATCTTTGGTGATTGATCCACAGCTCAAGAACTGTTTCGCAGCTTCTGAATCCAATTTTACAACCTTCACCCTCATTGTCCTCAAAATGCATCTGTTAGCAAAAGCCCTCTCCACTTAAACATCTCTGTTTTCTCACTTCTATATTCATGGTGACAGGATGCTTATTACATCCAATTTTTATTGGTCCACTAAGGAAAATATAACTGCACAAACTCATTCATTCTCAGTTAGGAGGTTTTGTTCCTAGCAGCATTAGATGAGTATCAATGGAAGCACCAATTCCAACCTACTTTTTCAGATACATGTCTCTCCACCAAGGAAATTTGAGTGTCTTACCCTCAATTACAGTATACGCATCCATTAGTGGCTCTTTCACCTTTTTTAATGACCCTTAATTAACAGCTCGAGTCAGACCTGGCAAATGCCTAGCAGCTCTGGGCTGGAGAGGTTACCTCCCAATAAGTAAATTACGTTTTTTTAATTAGACACATACAGATTGATACAATTGTTAGAGTCTTTGAAGAAAAATTCCAGATGAGGCCAAGGTAAGGAAGAGAACAGCTAATTGTAATCCAAATGCAGTTCCTAATACTGTTAACACTTAAGCACATGAGTAACTTTACTCCCAGGAATGATTCAATGGACTCAAATGGGACAATTCACGTGAGTAAAATTATCCATATGCGTAAGTGTTTTCATGACCAGGCTCTGACTCCACAATGGGTTTATCTAGCAAGAAAATGTGTCTTGTCTGGGCTAATGCAACAACAAAAAATCAATAAAGGATAACTTACCTTTAAAGGAATGTTTTATTTTATGTTATAAACAACACTAGCATTTAAAGACTATAATAATACTGGTACTCAACTATATCCTACTTCAAATGAAAGTTCACATGACCCCTACTGAGAAGAAACAAAAATACCAATTTTTTTTAACATCTTTAAAGCTCAAAAACTAGAAGCAATCAGAGCTATCCTAACTAAAACTGTTAACATGCCACATTCCCCCACATAGTTATGTACCATTAATATACTTGGGTAACTGATCCTACCAGAGCTGATGGCAGGATTTGAACCCATGTCCTTCATTGTTAAAAAGCATTAGATGCTATTTCTTGAGCTAGCGGTTCTCAAACTTCATTGCACTGCGACCCACTTCTGACAACAAAAATTACTGCGTGACCCCAGGAGTGGAGACCGAAGCCTGAGCCTGCCCGAGCCCCGTCACCCAAGGTGGGGAGGCTAAAGCCAAAGCCTGAGCCCCACTTCCCTGGGTGAGGGGGCCAAAGCCCAAGAGCTTCAGCCTCGGGCTGGGGACTTGTAACCTGAGCCACGCTGCCCAGAACTGAAGCCGAAGCCTGAGCCCCACCACCCAGAGATGAAGCCCTCGGGCTTCATCCCTGGGTGGTAGGGCTTGGACTTTGGCTTTGACCTTGGGCAGTGGGGCTCGGGCTTTGGCCCCGGGCCCCAGCAAGTCTAATGCAAGCCCTGGTGACCCCATTAAAATGGGGTCATGACCCACTTTGGGCTCCCAACCAACAGTTTGAGAACCGCTGAAGGAATAATTACATTAGCTGAAAGCATTACCTGTGTGGGCCAGCTACTAGATGGGGAAAAAGACATAAGAATGGCCATACTGGGTCAGACCAAAGGTCCATCTAGTCCAGTATCCTATCTTCTGACAGTGGTCAATGCCAGGTGCCCCAGAGGGAATGAACAGAATAGGTAATCATCAAGTGATCCATCCCATCATCCATTCCCAGCTTCTGGCAAATGGCGGTAGGGACACCATCCCTGCCCATCCCAGCTAATAACCATTGATGGACCTATCCTCCATGAATTTATCTAGTTCTTTTTTGAACCCTGTTATAGTCTTGGCCTTCAGAATACTATGTTTTTTAATTTGGTATATACATTTAAGTTGAGCCTCTATTATGGGGTCTTTAAAAAGTTTCCATTCAGCTTGCAGGGATTTTACTTTTGGTGCTGTACCTTTTAATTTCTGTTTAACTAACCTCCTAATTTTTGTGTATTTCCCCTCTCTGAAATTAAATGCTACAGAATTGGGCCGCTGTGGTGTTTTCCCCGCCACAGGGAGATTAAATTTAATTATATTATGGTCACTATTACCAAGCTGTCCAGCTATATTCACCTCTTGGACCTGATCCTGTGCTCCACTTAGGACTAAATCAAGAATTGCCTCTTGTGGGTTCCAGGACTAGCTGCTCCAAGAAGCAGTCATTTAAGATATTACAAAACTTTATGTCTGCATCCCTTCCTGAGGTGATATATACCCAGTCAATATGGGGATAGTTGAAATCCCCCACTATTACTGAGTTTTTTATTTTAATAGCCTCTCCAATCTCCCTGAGCATTTCAGCGTCACTAGCACCATCCTGGTCAGGTGGTCTGTAATATATCCCTACTGCTATATTCTTATTATTCAAGCATGGAATTACTATCGATAGAGGTTCTATGGTACAGTTTGATTCATTTAAGATTTTTACTTCCTTTGATTCTACGCTTTCTTTCACATATAGTGCCACTCCCACACCAGCACAACCTGTTCTGTCCTTCCGATATATTTTGTATCCGGATATTACTGTGTTCCATTGTTTAACCTAATTCCACCAAGTTTCTGTGATGCCTATTATCTCAATATCCTCATTTAATATGAGGCACTAGTTTGCCCATCTTATTAGTTAGACTTCTAGCACTGGTATATAAGCCCTTTAAAAACTTGTCACTTTCTCGCTGTCTGCCATTACATGATGTAATTGAATGGGACTTTTTTTCTTTAGACTGTTTCTCATCAGATCCTACCTGTATTTTATCATCTTCCACCCTCTCCTTCTTATTAAGGCATAGGGAATCTCCATTTATAGATCCTCCCCTAAGGGATGTCCGAACCACGTGCTCCTCCGCACCTATCGGCTTTTCCTCCAGCCCTTAGATTAAAAACTGCTCTACGACCTTTTTAATTTTAAGCGCCAGCAATCTGGTTCCATTTGGTTTAGGTGGAGCCCATCCTTCCCGTATAGGCTCCACCGCTCCCAAAAGTTTACCCAGTTCCTAATAAATCTAAACCCTCCTCCCTACACCATTGTCCCATCCATGCATTGAGACCCTGCAGTTCTGCCTGTATAAGTGGCCCTGAGCATGGAACTGGAAGCATTTCAGAGAATGCTACCACGGCGATCCTGGACTTCAATCTCTTACCTAGCAGCCTAAATTTGGCCTCCAGGATCTCTCTCCTATCCTTCCCTATGTCATTGGAAGCATGCTTCCTTGATGGGGTTATATTTGTATAACTAGAATTTGGCCACATCTGCATTATATGCATTATCATCTGCAATGCAGCTTAATTATCATCTGGTGATCCAGGTGATGACTTACTGTAAAAAGTCATTTACTAATAGCATATATAAAATAGAACATTTTGAGGGAGACACAGGAAACAGCACTATGTGATTCTGCTTTTAGACATATTTAAGGCATATTTTTGAGAAAAGAAGACTGAAAGGGGAACCTGATAACAGTCCAAATACATTGAGGGCTCTTATAAAGAGGACTGTGGTCAATTGTCTTCCATGTCCACTGAAGGTAGGACAAGAAGTAATTAGCTAGATCTGCAGCCAGGGAGATTTCTTTTTTTAGATATTCGGAAATGCTTTCTAACTATAAGGATAGTGAAATACTTGAACAGATTACTAAGAGAGGTTGTGGAATCCCTATCATTGAAGGTTTTTAAAAACAGGTTAGACAAACATCTCTCAGGGATCAACTAGGTCCTGCCTCAGCACAGGGGGATGGAATAGGTCAGTGATTGTCAATCTTTCCAAACTACTCTACCCCTTTCAGGAGTCTGATATATCTTGCGCACCCCCAAGTTACACCTCACTTTAAAATTACTTGCTTACAAAATCAGACATAAAATACAAATGTGTCACAGCACACTAGTACTGAAAAATTGCTTACTTTCTCATTTTTCCATATAATTTATTAAATAAATCAATTGGAATATAAATACTGAACTTACATTTCAGTGTATTGTATATAGAGCAGTATAAACAAGTCATTGTCTGTATGAAATTTTAGTTTGTACTCACTTCACTAGTGCGTTTTATGTAGCCTGTTGTAAAACTAGGCAAATAACTAAATGAGTTGATGTACCCCCTGGAAGACCTCTGCGTACCCCCAGGTTATACGTGTACCCCTGGTTGAGAACCATTGGAATAGGTGACCTCTCAAGGCCCTGCCCAGCCCTATATTTCTATGATTCTATATCAGTCCAAATTCTGCCCTGAACACAATGAATTTACACCAGAGATGAATTGGGACTATATACCTTAATTATATTGTGTGTGGAAAATATTGCACCTAACAGCAAAATCAAAATGAGTTCGAGGGAATAAACTGGCAAGCTGAGCTGTTTCAAACAAAAGTTTTGATCTGCTGAGACTGGATTTATGTTATTAAGTATACAAATGTTCAAACTGTAATGATGGAAGAGCAATGTTGTAATATTATTTTATTAGAATGACCAGAGCAGTTCATTAAAATAAGATTAGATTTAAATAACAACGCCAGAATCTCTTAGTTTTGAGATTTATTATTAGGATTCTGGACACAGAGACGAAATGTAAATATTTTAATGAAGTTCAAATAAATGGGAAAAAGTTACACTCACTCTCAGCCCAGGAAATCCAGGAGGCCCAACGCCACCAACAACTCCCTTTAAAGAAAGAGTGAATATGGAACAATCAGCACTTTAATATTTTAATACATCCCCACAAATAGCAAGGTAATGAAAGGTGATCTGCAAAGAAAAAGAAATTGGAATTCTGGCTTCTCTCTGATGTATAAATAGGGCCTGAAAGATGACTAATATTATGCATAAAGAATGTATGTTCTAAAAGCCCCATTATTAAGGTAAGAGAACCCATAATAAACATGACGTGAGAAATGAAATCCTGCCTCTAAAACCAGGGAAGATCAGACTAGACATTCCTGCTATTTTAAGGGGGGGGAAACTAAAGAGGAGTGGGAAAACAATTTTTTGGGGGGGGGGGGAACAGCTTGTCAGGCTCCCTTTATCTATAACTAGGAGGCCAAAAAAGGCCCAAGCTCCATTTTAAAACGAATTTCTTTGCAGACTGCCTTGAAAGGCAATGATCTCTTTATGGGCAACTGTTTACGTATATCTAAAACTGATTCAACTTCTAGTGCACATCTGAAGTGAACAGACAGTTCATTATAATTATTCCTTCTTTTATAGCTGGAGAATATTTTTAAATAAGTTTCAAAAAATAAATTACTTCAAACTTTTTTTAGCAATTTTAACAAACTACTGGCTCTTTCCTGCCCAAATTAAACTCTGTGGTTGCAGAGCCTCAAAGGTACTATGAACCTTATGGGTTACCCAGCGTTAAAGACTGCAATCTCTGATTTAGTTGGGGATTGGTCCTGCTTTGAGCAGGGGGTTGGACTACAGGACCTCCTGAGGTCCCTTCCAACCCTGATATTCTATGATTCTATGATGATTCTATGCTCTCTCCCTTTAGCCATCCAGGTCTGCCTACTTCCAGGCTCAGACTCTATGCAGCTTAATTACCATGTGGCCATCCAGGTGATAGAAATTATGTCAGGGGCTCAGTGCATCCCTTCACATCCAAATGTTGGAGGTGGGGAGTATGAAAGCAAATCTTGGCCCACTGTGAAGCTATTGTATTGGGCTTTCCAGCTGTGAGACCAAAAGTTTTAAAAGGTAACTTCCTCCTTCTCTGCCCCCGCCACCCATCCACCAGCCCCAAACTCCTCCGCCGTACCAGCTGGGAGGGTTCTATTCTGCAGTGGGCTGTGGATGGGGAATGTAACATGTACATGATTAAGGGCTAGGGAGAGAAACATGAAAACAGGGATGGAGTAATCCTGGTAAACAGAAGGAGGCTGGGATGTGGAGAGTATGATTTGTCCCAGCCATAGCTGAGATAACGGGGGAGACTTCCTGAGTCTCCAGGGACCGCTATCTCTTATCACCGCAGAACTCCCAGTCAGCATGCAGTAGCTCCTGCTCCACATTATCAGCACTAGAGTACTCTTAGTAAATATCACATTAGATTTCAGCCTGACCTCCAGCCCCCTGCAGCTGCAGACTTGGCACCTTGCCTGAACCAGCCCTGCAGGGTGGGTTTTTCACTGGCTATTTGAGGAGGCCGTGATATCAGCAGCTGTCTTGGTAGATTAGAAGAAACTCATTTTAAACGTGTGGTGCTAAAATGCAGTTCTTTGTAATGTATAAGTCTGTAATTTAGGACCTAGACTTTCTGAGTTTGTCTCTATTCAAGTGTTGCTCTTCCCCTTCAGTTCTGGTGGAAAGAACGCATCTGCTTTGGAGAGGGGCAGAACGAACTGACCCTTGTGTATAATTTGTACGGCAGTTGGTTACACTAATAAAGCCCTTTGAGTTCTTTCAAGATGAAAAGTGCCACAGAAGTGAAAGATATTATATTACCTAACCCCTTGGTGAGCTTCATTCCAGAGATCAGAAATGCTGAATACATTTACTGTGTGCCAAAATCCTGGTGCCACTGGGCAATCAAGGCATCAGCAAAACTTTAAAGAGTTTCCAGTTGGTGCAGCTGAGGAGGGGTCATCCTCAGAGATTTTGTTACAGTTCCCTGGTTCTTCGCCCAGCTCCTGGCCCTCACCCAGGTTAGAGTAGCCCGTAGGCACTAACTGCCCATCTTTCCCAAGGGAACATCCATCAGCTGAGAACAGCTGCAATCTGGCCACTCCTACTCCCTGTTCATTGTGTCAGGGACCACAGGAAGGGTGTTGGAGGAACTACGTAATTTAGCTCTACATCTATGGGGGGCTTCTCCAAGCCAGGGGAATCCACAGCTAACAGGCTGCAGCCAGAGTCAACTAAGAACATGGCAAGAGAGAAGCTCCTTTGAAATCAGTACTGAAACAATGACATGATGACTGTCACATGTTTTGATTACTGCATCATCAGAGCACATTATTCTGAAGAGGTGTTTCTAAAGAAAGAGCGGCTGCCCTACTAATGCTGAGTTACTAAAAGACAGACAAGCAAAAGACAGGTCCAGAAGCTTATTCAGTAATAGTTCAAAGGTTAAAGCTAGTAAAGCCAGTAAATACCTGAACATACTAGAGCCAGTTTCCTGAGAAACAACTTCAGAATATCCCCTTTTTAAGAGACCATGGAACTGTATCATATCAAGCAAAGTCATGTCCTAGGGCCCTAGTCACTAAGAATTTTAGCAAGAATACAGATTTGTTTAGTTAGCCTCAAACAGGCAAGAGTTTGATCCTGAAAGGAGCTGAGCATCTGCAGCTCCTAATGGGAGCTGGCCACATTCAGCAGCTTTCAGAATCTCTCTCTCTCTTATCTGAGCACCTTCAATGTAAAATCAAGAGTGATAGCAAATTTCTAGTGGACTGCATTGAAGGGGTTTGTTTGGTTTTTGGACAGGTTTTATCAATGACACATTTTAATACCATCATGTTGTAAATTGCAAAGTCACACACACAATTTGATACCTACAGGACTCCCATCTGCACCAGGGGGGCCTCTGTTTCCAAAGTCACCTGGAAAACCCTGGTAACAAGAGAGAGATAACACTGTTAGAATCATAGCACACACCAGATATTATTCTTCACATTACACTTGGAAATATGTAAGAAATGCGTACACACGAAGAAATTTGGCAAGAACAAATGACTTGCCCTTTCTTATCCAAAGCTGGGAGGTTCTAAAAGAAGCTTACAAGAGTCAGGTGCACAACCCCCATTGAATTTTTATGGGATTTGGACACCTAATTCCCATAGGTTCCCTTGAAAACCCCAACCCAAATTGACCAAAGGTACTAGAAAGTAAGATGATACTAGCAAGAAGGGGGGAAAATAAACCATTTCAGCTGCAAAATTCAAAACACACTTCATTGTCTTACTCCAAAATCCCATCCAAGAAAGATTTGAGAAGATTTTTTGGATGCCATTTTAAGTTGCAAGAATATGACGTTATCATCTTACTGAGCCCTTATGAGGTCGATACTATGCAAGTGCCCATTGGAATGTTTGTTTGGGGTCTTCTGATACCCAGCTCCGTGCCTTTACTACAAGATCACACCTCCCCCATGCCATATAGCATTTACCTAAGACTGTTTTTTAATATTTATGGATGAAGACTCAATATGACAAACGTGCATTAAAATCAATGACCAATATGAGGGACTCAGCACTGCTCAGAATTAAACCTTCATTTTCTAACCATTCTGTATGCAAAGTTATCTTTGCCAATGTAAACTAGTGCATGCTTGCCTGGTTGAGTCTGCAGCTAGAGACTGAAACAATAGCACCAAATGAGGTATGCATTTCCTCATTCATATTAGCAGAGTGTTGACTTCAGAGTTTAGATATTGGGGTAGTGATGCTATGTAGTCACCAGGATGCATCTGGAATCTGATTGGACAAGTGAAATTTCAATTTTGAGCCAAAATTAGCATTGTTGTCTGGGGCTGCAGGACTCGAAGTCCTGCCTTGCTGGAACCGTGATCTTTTTTGCTCCCTATTATGGATCCTATTTTACTTCCCCAGACGTTGCCCCTGGAAAGGAAGCACGAATTGATTGAATTATTTTAATTCCTATTGATTTCATATCGCTATCAAATGCTCACTAACCAACTGGAAGAGCCACATGTGGGAGAGAGTGGATTCAGTGCGGTGGTGCACAAAAGTTAATGCCCACAAGAGCAGCACAATTCTGTTGTAAACAAGAGCACAAAAAATGTAGTGATCAATGCCAATATATTAAGTTGGAGGGAAGGTGTGTAGTGGAGAACTGTGCAGAGCCCTACTAATGCTAGAACCAGTCTGATTTAACACATTTCTTAATAATCTGGAAGAGGTAGTAAAACAGCACACCAATGAAATTTGCAGATGATACTAAATTGGGAGGGGATTCAGCTTGGAAAAATGCAAGCTAATACATCCAGGAAAAAAAATCCTAAATATAGAAAGTATGAGAGTAAAATATCTTGCACGCACCAGGGTTGTAAGAGAGCCAAGAATGATCTTGGACGTATGAGCTTGTGATACAGCTGTAAAATTCCAGCGCAATTTTGTGCTAAATTTGCCAACACATCCTAAAAGTAGGGAACATGGTATTTGAATGGACAGTTCATAGTTGCTAGCATACTATTTTTAGACTATACTAGAGGACACAGTTTGCTATGTTTCCCTTCCATCCTCACAGGTGTTTCGGCCAGTGGATTAACACCATTTATAGACTCACTGGCCATCCCTCCACAATTGCTCTGATCCATCCCTAACCTTCTCAGTGCATTCTCATAGGGTTTGTCTTGTTCATACTGCAACTTCTGCAACATGATTTAGCTCAGGTAATTTAAGTTAACTACCACAACTGTAAATTCTAGTGTACTGTAGATATTCCACAATAGTTTGTTCCAGGAAATAAACATTTGTTCCTAGTCATGGTTCATCCTATGTCAGTGGTTCTCAACCTATTTACCATTGTGGGCTGCATAACAATTGTCATGTGGGTCACATCCAGTACTACCTGTATGGCTTTGAGGATGTCACATTGGCCACAGCTGTGTGCTGACTGGGCCACAGGTTGAGAACTACTGCCCAAGGCTGAGCCCCAGGATAAGCTAGGATCCAGAACAAACCTTTGGGAGTGTTTGCACTGAGATTTACAAATATTTGTGACGGGTTTCAGAGTGGTAGCCGTGTTAGTCTGTATCAGCAAAAACAGCGAGGAGTACTTGTGGCACCTTAGAGACTAACAAATTTATTTGGGCATAAGCTTTCGTGGGCTAAAACCCACTTCATCAGATGCATGGAGTGGAAAATACATGCATCTGATGAAGTGGGTTTTAGCCCACGAAAGCTTATGCCCAAATAAATTGGTTAGTCTCTAAGGTGCCACAAGTACTCCTCATTGTTTTTGCAAATATTTGTGAGTGTGCATGTTAGAATTCACAACTGTACTAGTTAACACACATTAACCGGAACCACCCTTCCATTCCCACAGACTGGAGGGAGCAGTTTCTTTCATCCTGTAATTATTTCATAAACATTACCTTTTCTGCTCTCAGGTGTTTTCAAGTTTATAGTTTTCTCTTTGTATAGCTGCAAGAGGAGGTTAAGATACTAACCTTTCACCTCCAGTGGGCCATGCTCAAAAGTGCCTCAGGTCACACAAACTATTAGTTTAGCCCTTTCAACCTTCCTTCCTTAGGTTGTCTAGATCATGATTTATCAGAGCTAAATATCTTTAGTTAAGAGCTGGGAAGGGGAAAAAGGGGTGCCTAACAATGGATAAACAGGAACCACAGGCCGGGAACTGAAAGGAACCTTAAAAGTTGCAGTAGGGAGGTGGGAAGTTTGCCCTGTAATTCAAAATACCTCTGGATTTCTCAGCCATGTTTTTCTTTAATCAAAACTATGAGTCTTTTACCTTGGTGTCATCATAAGAACTGGAGTTTAACTAAATAATAAGGGGAAATTACCTTGTATAGCTCTCCTCTCCTCTCCAACCATTGGACTAGAGTTGCTCCAGCTAGTTTTGTTTTGTCTGGTTTGGTCTTATTTACTTATGCTTTGTCTTGTACTTTTCAGTCTTGTCTTATTTTGTTCCAGTCAGCTTTCACGGTGGACAAGAACATATCCCACTCCTATCCCTCTGTGAATGTACCATTAATAGCCTATATAGTATCTCGCAATAAGTTACTAGGCTCATAATTCCTCATATTTTCACCATAATGTGAATTAATTTGATTTATTCATTCTAATTCATGTGCTGACTTTTGAACTGTAATCATTACAATGAATTCACACTGTATTTTTAACACAAATAATAAAATATCAATTATGAAAAGGAGAAAGACAGGTAATATTGAATGGACTGTTGCATAGTAGATGGTTGTTTATAACAAACCACAAGTCAACTCACTACTTCAGCACTCCGGGGAGTAATGCTGGCCTAAATCCTGGCTCTCCTGAAGTCAATGAGAGCATTTCCAATGTCATCAGTGGGGCCAGGATTTCACCCAAGGAGTTTAAGCCCTGACAAATTACTGTCTGTGACTGCATCTGAAGTTTTAATTTGTCAGATGTTCTCCAGATCAATTCTGAGACATTCTCCATGCTCTGCAGCAGCTTTGCACATTCAAAATACACAACAAACTATTCAATGTTTTATGATTCATACATTAAAAAACTCCATTGGATGGCTATGGTGATCTCAATATTTAACATAAGTAAATGTGGAAATTCATTACTGGACATTGTATTAAAATCCATAAAAGAAGTTAAACCATTAAAGTTCCTACAACAGTGTAAACATACCAACATCACACAGATACAATTTAATATCCTTTGGATTTCTAGTTAAATAGAGGAATGTGGCTTATTCACAACAAAATGCAAACATGCTCAACTGACCACGCTGTATTTACCAAAAGTGAAGCCGCAACATCACAAAGCTGTAACCACCCAGACATCACCACTGCTGCCCTCTTAACGGGCCTTCTGCTGGGAGAGCAGGAGGCCAGCTTTTCTTAGCAGCTGACACTACAGAGACGCTCCGATGGTGAAGGTGGCCAGAGGATGCACCGAATCAAGGCATCCCCAGGCAACATCCCTGTCCTGGCAAACACAGTTAACTTTTTTGGGCTGCACTGGCCTTCTAAAAGCCCACTGAGGAAGGGATGTTTGCTGCCATTTTCTGCTACCTCTTCCTTTTGTCAAAGTTTCTGCCATCAAGCTCCTGAATTTTCACTGGCTGAAGCCCTCCCAAACACAGGATGACCCTGGCCCAAGGTTTTTTTTGCATTCTGTTGCAAACTAACAAACGGCCAATTTCTCAGAAAATTCTGCTAAAGTCTGCGTGTGTTAAAGCCAAAAAATATCCCTCCAAACTGACCAGTTTTCAGCAAAAATGATTCAGGCCATTTCCAAGCAACAAACAGGCCCATCTATCACACTGTGAAAATTGTATTCAGTATCTGATCATGGTGCTCTCAAGTGACAATTGTTATTCTTTAATTTTAAGGTACAAGTTTTTCATAACATAAATAAACTGTATAGCATTTATTACTGATGTGGTTGTTGATTCAGTAGAGGTTCATAATGTTCATTATTAAATACGACAGACTTTGAAATTAACTTGAAAACCTATACTCTCTGGACCAAATTTTCAATTGGCCTCTGAAATTGTATCGTAAAATTTTATTTGACATAGTGCCATGTTATTAAAATATCTTTTGCTTATTCAAGGCCACCTTCTGGGAAGCCATAGTCAAAGGCTAATTTACTGTTCTTTTAAGAAAACTAGTACATTTTGGTGAGGATGTGTGCCCCAATAGATGTTAAACTTGTTAAACTCCAGATGACACCCATGAAGACACAACTTTTTAAATAGAAACTAACAGTTGGATCAAAAGTGAAATGGAGAAAGCAACGAGGCAATTTTTCCAATTACCAGGTCTCAGATTCAGACTGTAGGTAGTGATTTATATACAGAAAAAAAGAGCAAAAGATGTTCTGGATGAGACAAAGGGGCAGATTAACCATAACCATGATATTTCCACTTTCATCATCATGAGTTTTATAACTGATGAGAGAAGAACAAATTAGGCACTATAAAAAAGAAAAAGCATTTCTAATCTAGGAAAAGAGAAAACCATCTAAAACTGAAAACATAATAGTACTACTGTGTAAGAAATGTTTTATTAAATCAGTAATATCATCTAGCATATTGCTATAACACATCCTAGAAAACAAGAACATTCATATTTTTAATTGAAAATGGGTCTGTAGTATTTTCACACAGTTACAATGGACTAGACTAGCAGATTGTTGGTATAGTTCAAAAGGTCTGCTTTGTCAGTTTGAGTATTAGTTGTTGTAACTAATCCTATATAGGTTTCTGAGTAACAGCCGTGTTAGTCTGTATTCGCAAAAAGAAAAGGAGTACTTGTGGCACCTTAGAGACTAACCAATTTATTTGAGCATGAGCTTTCGTGAGCTACAGCTCACTTCATCGGATCCATCCGATGAAGTGAGCTGTAGCTCACGAAAGCTCATGCTCAAATAAATTGGTTAGTCTCTAAGGTACCACAAGTACTCCTTTTCTTTTAATCCTATATAGTACATTCCCAATAAATGTGCTCAAAGTAGTGTATGTGAAATACCGTGCAGCATATATGACAAGACAGATAATATAACAATACAGAAGTGGCCAGATTTCATATTACATACTTAATATGGAAAGAAATGGGATACATGCACCTTGAATACAGAATATTTTCTTTAAAACATACTGTACATGCAACTGATTTAAAATGCAGGCAATTTCAGACTCGCTAATATTTATAATAAGGAATTTGGTCAATTTAATATTTTGTTCCATTTCAAATATGCCAAAGATATTATAAATACTAATAACTATTCAGCTAGTCTGCTAATTGGTCGCATTTTGAATCCTAAAGATGATTTTCATGTCAGATGGTTTTTATAGTGTATTAAATGCCATCTGGACAGTAAACAAAATGATGGCAAGCACAATTATCTACCAGAATTTTAAAGCATTCATCACCATGGTGTCTAGAACTATGTTAAAAATTAAAAGAACTACCCTAAAACAAGCTCCTAATCTCCACCTCTCAAATTTAAGGCTGCTTTCCAAAATGAGATCATATTTGGGATTTGCCCTTCTTCCAAAAGCAATGTGCCATGCTGGCCATTCTTTCCCCTCATTGTTATCGATGGAAAGTTTGCACAAAGATGAGTCTTGCATTTCACCCTGAATCGTAAGGCTAGGATTCATCTCTCTGACACTGGGGAATTCCACAGCCAAGATTCTTTTGGTGAGAGCATCCTGCTCCAACCTCTTGAGGTATTCACCCTGAGGCCATTGGGTTGGATTTGGGGAAAGAGGCATTCGACGGTCCTGATCCAACAAAGTACCTAGAGCTAAGTACCTACTCAGGTGCTTTGACAGATTAGGCCTTATGATAACTAAACTTTAGCCCACTGTGGAGGACTAAGGTCTTGGAACTGATTTCAGGATCAAGAAATAGATCTGGCATTAAGTAGAAAGCCAACGGTATGTGCAGAACACTGGGCTGATGTGCTCTCATTGATCTCTGTTACTTAAACAGTAGACTGCCATGTGTTAAACTATTTGAAGATGGATCTCTATGGTCAAGAGTCCTCACTAGAGAGAGATGGGTGCAATACGTGACTAGCTGAAGATGGAAAATAAATTTCTCTCCACTTCTGCTACTTGTACAGCTAGGAGCAGTCCAGTGGGATCGAGACATCATACCATCTTGAGAACCTGAGGTCAGGTGCCTTCAGTTGAAGACAAGATTATAATTCCAGACAGTGTTTCAAAGATCCCTATCAGCATCACCTCCTTCTTACACAGATTGAGCACGAGTCTTCTGCTTTTTTACCTTGATGCTCTTTCTTCTCAGAAAAGCTAGCACACTGCACATGGCTAATAAGGTGCCATAATACAATAGCATGTATCTGCTAGTGCAGTGGTACTCAAAGCCAGTCCGCCGCTTGTTCAGGGAAAGCCCCTGGTGGCCCGGATTGGTTTGTTTACCTGCCGCATCCACAGGTTCGGCCGATCGCGTCTCCCACTGGCCGCGGTTCGCCTCTCCAGGCCTATGGGGGCTGCGGGAAGGCCGGCCAGCACATCCCTTGGCCCACGCTGCTTCCCGCAGCCCCCATTGGCCTGGAGCGGCGAACCGCAGCCAGTGGGAGCCGCGATCGGCCGAACCTGTGGACGTGGCAGGTAAACAAACCAGTCCGGGCCGCCAGGGGCTTTCCCTGAACAAGCGGCGGACTGGCTTTGAGAACCACTGTGCTAATGTACATTTTTGGGATGCACAAACTAGCACATGATTCAAATGAGAAATGAGCAGCAACAATGTAGACAAAAAACTGAACACACTATCCTGTTAGCCAATTACTTTAATAAATTTAATCTTTTTTGATTCACACATTAATCTGTAGCATTAAAAACTTAAATAAGGTTCTTGATTTTAATGAACGTGTTTCAGGAGTGTCTTTTAGTACTTTTTGTGTTATGCACTGATTAACCCAAAATTCACATGTATTGGAAGCTGGTCCATATTTCACATGGTTTTGTAATAACTATGCAGCAAACACAAAAATTACATCAACAGAGCTATGAATCTCTCCTTCCACAGTATTTTACATCCAGACAGCAAAAGTCTTAAAGTACAACCATCTGGCAGAAAACAAAGAACTTGGCACGTAACAGATCATGCTACAGTTTTCTGATCTATCAGAAATACTGTAAACCTTAGGAAGGTATGCCTTGCAGATTTGTGTCTGCCCCCACATGCAGAAATATGTTTCTATTAAGTAGGGAATATCTTTAACTTGCCAACAGTTGCTTTCTACAATTTTTTCTGCAAACATCTGAAATTATTTGAAGCTGCAACTAACTTCTATTCAGGCCAACACCTGAATCAGACTCTTCATAAAGCCTGGAATCATAAATCTGTGTTGCATTAACAATATTTTTTTAGAACTGTTTGCGTTTTCGGTGATCTTTTAACCCCATGGCAGTCACACTGATAGTTCCCATGGCTGAACTGGCCATCAGGTTAAAAATTCTTAATTTACGTTTATTTAGCAGCACCATTAAATTTACCGAACAAGTTGTCATTTTTCTGTAGTGCAAGGTATGTGCTGAAACAATAATAAAATCATTTGTGAATAAAACAACACTAACCTTTTCAGCTACTTAAAATTATATGCATACTTACAGTATTCATTTAAATTAGCAGCAAAAGTAGAAACCCATATTAGTAACCTTACCAGTCTCCCCTTAAGACCCCTTTTTCCTTGCTGTCCTGGAATGCCCTGTAAAAAAAAGAAAGAAAGAAAGAAAAGAGAATTTACAATCTAAAAAATCTACAGAATCTAGATTTTTTAAAAGTAATTTAAATGACATATTATTGGCACGCACATTTGATTGCAAAAGGCAATCTAAAGATCACCACCACAAAAAGCAGACACTAAACCTTTTTCTTGTTATAAGGGAGCAGGGAGAATGGGATGGAGAAATGTAAATTGTGATCTCTTCACTTCAGGCATATTAGTTTAATTATATTAATATGTCCTAGAATGTTGAGAAGGGCCTGCTTTGGCTGTTATTAAGGTCAATGGAAAAACTTTCCCTGATTTCAATAGTAGCAAAATTAGGCTCAAAATCACAGTTATCAGATTATCATGGACATTTTTGTCTTAAACACATACCAGGCAATTCAGAAAGGGGATTTTACATGGACTGAATTACTCTTAGAGGAAACTTTCACTGCTCACTTCAATGACAACAGGAACAGGCTCCCAATCTCAAAAGTTTTAGATGAAATCCAAGCTTCACTTTACAGTCAATTCAGATTTATTAACCTTGGTGCTATTTTGATTTTATTCACTAGATTCATTCTAATCAGCAGAATTTTATTATTTAATCGTATGACATTTTCACACACTCCCAGTTTTGCTGTCAGACAAGCCTTATAATAAATCCTAATAAAGCCTAATAAATCTTATTTAAGTTTTCCTTGGTCTCATTGTGGTGTATGTTATGCTTCAGTGTGTTTCATTATTATAAATGTGTAAATATTTAATAAATGTTTAATTAAACCTACTCTTTCTCCTTCAGGTCCTGGCTGTCCTGCCGCCCCTGGAGGTCCAATGAAACCCTTAGAACAGATAAATAATTCTTAAATGCTTTCATTAAAAAGTTTCATCTCAAGAACAATGCTAGATACAGATTTACCACACATTTATGAACGTATAGTGGTTTGAGATTTTGGGTGAAATCCTGGCTCAGTTGAAGTCAATGGCAAAACTCCCCGTGATTTCAGTGTGGCCAGGATTTCACGCTCCAAATCCAACTGATAGTTACAATCACCCACCATTGCAGAGGTAACGTACAAATTAACCATACTAGGAAAAAAATTCCCAAATGATATACTACTGCATCAGAAAGTGCTGATCAAAGGAATATTAAAAATAAGCTTTCAAATTTACAATATTCCCCACATGTAAATAAAAAATAAATTATTTTTGTGTGAATAAGTTTGAGTGATTTCTACTACAAAGTAATTATTTTGCAAGTTTATCTTGTCACAGCTGGATTGTATTAATTAAAAGTGACTAATTTTTCTCCCTCCCTGCTTAAGTAGAAGGGGAGAATTGTCTATCCCATTAAAACCAGTGAGACAAATCATTGTAAGCATCAGTTTAATTGTAACTGCATCATGCCCTGCTTTCTATCCATGTAGAGAGTGATGCTGTCTACTCTGGAGCTGGAAGTTGCAATTTCCAGCTCAAGGAAACATCCCACACTAGCTCTGACTGCGCTTGTGCGCCAAAAATAGAAGTGCCGCTGCAGTGGTGCAAGTGGTGGGAGGGGCTAGCTGCCAAAAGTACATGCCTAGGATCTCAGACGAGATTATATTTGGGGCAGCTATCCTCTCCCATTCCTCGTGCCACTGTGGCTACATTGCTATTTTTAGCAAAGCTAGTGCAGGTATGTCTCCTCAAGCTGGAAATGACACCTTCCAACTCTAGTATGATATACCATGAAAAGTAACTTCCTTATGTTGCGTCAAAATCTGCAAATCCACAGCTAAATACCACTGTGTTCAATTTTTAAAATGGTAAGGTAGAAATAACTGAATTTTATTGTAGAACATAAGATCAATAGAGTAGCCAGAGTAGTAACTATTACGATGGGACACATGCTAACCACTGGCTAACAGAGAGGTCATATCCCTGTGTTTTGTTCTCAAAAGATCCAATTCGCTTCCAGTTAAATGAATAAAAATAAAAAGTTAAGAAAGTGAAAACATTAAACTGAAGAAATTCTCACATGAAAATAGCATTTAGGAGGTTTTGAAGATTTTGTCTTCTGTGACTGAATTAGGAAGCAATTCTACTTTTCATCAATACAGTGGAGACCAGCAGAAGCCCCACAAAGTCTAGTTAAATAAAAAAATCATAATGTGAAATACAATGAAAAGTTATAATGGGCAGGAAATGTTTCTCACTCATAAGAGCTGTTATAATTCTCTGTTGAGCAAAACACGGGTGCAGCTTTCTTGTATTAGACAACGAGAATGTCATTAGTGATTACTCCACTGTTGGGTTTGAATGGGATACGTGCAATTCAGAATATAAGGTGACTTGAAGGAAATCACACTTATGTCCTTGGCTAGCCCATTTCCTTCAACGTGAAACTGGTAAAGGGAGGATTGTATTGGGGGGAAAATAAGTTCCACGTACAGGGAGCTATCCTGGGAAATGTATTTTTTTTAAATTATGCTTAAAAAATCCACCCCCTAAAATGTAGTAATCATTTAAATTCCTGGCTCTTAAGATTTGAAAACTAACACTATGTCCTGAGAAATTTAAACCTCCTCTCAAATCTTCAATGGTTTGTATGTGCTATATTCCATTATATTGCTTCCAAAGCTCAGTTTCATTTTCACGGCTCTGCATATGTGACAGACATGTACAAATTCAATTGCAAATTGGCATAAACAAAAGTACAATGAAGTGATTCTACACATAGAGGCTCTGAGAGCGAATGTGCAAAGGCAGGAGCAGCATCTAATTACTGAAAAAAAAAATCGGTGTTTTCACTTCTATCTCTACAGTCCTTTGAATTTAATGAAATATCTTAACTCATTTTTTGAGGATCTTAGGAAGGACAATACTCTTCTTGGTACCCCACACATTAGGGAAAAATGCAGCTCTCTTTTCTTTCCCTGCATTGTCTTAAAACCCTTAAATAAGCAGGATGCAGAGCTATCATAGGAGTGCGTTCTAACCTTAAGAGCTCAAATTATATTGACATAACTGCATGAGTCAATGGCACAAAAACATGTTTCTGGGTCAACATTACAGGCAACATCTGACAGAAAGGATTATGTAGGAGACACCCTTTTGAAACATGACAGTCTGAGATTGCTCCAAAAATAACTCATACTAACAATGACAGTCATATGTGTGGGCAAAAATAATAACGAGCTTGTGGGCCACTTAGCGGAAAAGATTGTGATCACCTTTGTCTTATATAACAGGAGAAGGAGTTGGCTACAGGTTTAATGGAGAACTTTGGGGCAAGAAAAAAAGGAACAAATGTCTCAGGGTTGAGAGCCATGTGGGTGCAATATCTTTGGGACACAAGATCCTTACAAGCAAAGGAATCACCTCTCCCATCCTATAATGAAAACTGAATTTAAGAAGAACAAAGCTTAGACATTTCAAAAAGCTGTTGCAGATGAAGGCTTTAAATATCTGCAATAAAAGACACAAGTGCACAGATTCAGCAACATGATGGAGAAGTTGTAACAGAAGCTTGACAGCATCATAAGGTACACAGTATACTTCACAGAAACCTGTACGATAATGGAGTTGAGTAAGGATGAGGGTGGAATCAAAAACCTGAGAAATTTCTAGTGTAAAGCAATTACAAATCTCAGGTTGCAATACACAGTTAACATCATATTCACATGTGATCCAAGTCTGATGATCTGTTGAGGGCAGTGACCTCGAAAGAAATAAAATCTGATCTTTTTACATCTATAGGTGTGTATGTGTGAAAAGTAAAAACTTTTTTTCCCCTTTCTCCGTGAAACTTTACTCAAAAACAATCCAAGCAAAGCTTAAATTTTTAAAGGGCTCAGATTTGTACCCCTGGTCTTGGCTACAAAAGATATCAACTGAAATATTTTAGGATCTAGCAGAAGGTGACTCTCATATTCTTTATGTGACAAGATTGTTTCCTTCCATCAACCTCTGTCACCGTTGAAGATTACAAATGCCAGATCTGCCTTCACTCCTGACAGTTTCTACTACAGAAATAATGCTCCAGGCAGGAAACAGCCTTTTCCCCTCCACTCCCCTCCTTCGCTACCCCCACACTCTCATAGGGTTCTTTTTCTTTCTCTTCATGTCTGTATATGTTCCAAGTGAAGGAAGAGCAGCAAGATGAGATTATTCTGCACTGCTTGTAGGCATGAAAAAGAAATAAATCCTCAAATTTTTAATGAAATAGAGTTTGTCATTAACCAAGTCTGCAATAGACAGAGTGATTCAGTGGCTGTGCAACTGGCAATTCAATGAAATCTCTCAAGCATACTATATATATAAAAATACAGTCATGCATGCCATAATGCTTACAAATGTTACTTACTCTTACACCTTTAGGACCTGGGTTACCTTCTGGTCCAGCTAAACCCTAGTATAAAAAGACACGACTTTTACTTCATTTAAAATAAATGGAAATACTAGATTTAAAAGAATTATCACAATAATTGTTAATTTCCAAACTGGCAATGCACTTTTCATGATGGGTGCTATGTGAACCTCTAGACAGAGACTGCAACTTCCTTTATATTAAAGTTATTTCTTTTTGCAAAGTTCTTCCCAATCCAGTTGAAACCTTCCACCCAATTGTGAACTTGACATTAAAAATAACTTCATGGAACTTTTCATAAACTTTTATATTGGAATGCAGTTCCAGTCATTTTCTAGCCAACATTAGAACAATAAGTTTATTTCAAAGCATTTTGTATTTTTAAATGTTGGCATGTTGTCATCCAGTCACTATATAAACTATTTACTAATGCTTTTTAATATATAGCCACTGTAAAATTGGTCTAGTAAACTGCTGAAATAGTTTAGAGAGCATGGGTCAAATTCAGCCCCTCAAGCAGGAATGACTCCATTGAAGTCAGTTGACAAACACAAGGACTGAATTTGGCTCATGTAATTTAAATGTGAGGAAAAGTGACTGACCTTTCATCTTAATGCACCAACAGCATATACTGAACTATCTATCTGTCCCAGGTATATAAAAATCAATATTACAAATGGCTTGCATTGATAGCAATTTGATGTTTTCATTGGTTCTCTTTCTCAATGAACTAAATGGAAAAAGCCCTTTAACATATTCTTTCCCCACATAAAAGTTAAAAAAATAGTTTCAGCAGTAAAAAAAAGAAGTGTAGGCAAATAAGTAGGAACGGTACTAGAGCAGAATGCTTCCTGTTTCTTCTGAACATTAAATACTAAAAGGTTGAAACAGACAGAGAGCAATTTGGTAACAAGGTATGTATGCACTAGAGGGACACAGAATAACTGTGTCTAACCCATTCAGAGCCCAATACTGAGGGCACAGTGTGCCAGATATCGTCCGTGAATGGCGCCTCTGAAAGGAGGCTTGTTTTAAGTATTAGTGATACAATGTCAGCCAACGCAGTGATGTCATCAGCAGTACCAGCAGATTTAGATATGGTTCTTTCAGAAACGACATCATTAATGCTACATGATGGCAGACAATCCTTTTGAGGTAGATGAGTTTGTCAAAACACTCCTTGCCAACAGACAGATCATGTACACTAGGCATCACTTTGAAAATTAACCCCAAAGAGAGGAAGGGAAACATATTTTAAACTAATGTATAGTACTGAACAGGTGCTTATAATAGGAAAACATATAATTCTATTGTATAGTTACTGCACCTGCCTGCCAGGGTAACCAAGTGAACCAGCATTGCCAGCCATTCCTGGAATTCCCTAAATTGAAAGCAAAAAAAAAGTAATCAGGTTTTGTGTATTTTTACCTGTTGATATCATGAAAGAGCTTTCTCCTAATGCAAGACTGTTTCTTGTGTAAGTTGCATAGGAAGCCCATAAAACCCACTCCTTATACATAATTAAAATTGGCATGATTACTTCCTTAGCAATGGTGCACACATTGCAAAAGCACCTAGGGTGGGGGAGGGAGAGGGAGGGAATTAGTCCAAAATGAAGTGAAGTACAAGGAAAAAAACCACTGATTCATGATGGAAAATTCTTAGACAATGTTTGGCAAAATCAGATATGCACAACAGGAGATGCCCTCAAGGGACAGGTATTTATGGTGCAGATAACCCAAGCTGACACTGATCTTGGCCGTATTATTAAAATTTTTACTTTTATGGAACAAATGTAAGAAGAATCGGAATGTCCTTGTATATCTGAATTTCCTTATATTGGTCTCAATGTGGGTATGCTAGGATAAGGTTAGAGTAACAGTGGATTAATAATGGGTACAGTAAACTCTTCCTTTTCCCCCTCTTCCTTCTCTAATCAAATCCAAAAGTGTTTTCCCCCCTAATAATTCTGTGTATTTGATTGTTTATTTTAAGAATATTCTGCTTTTCTGAAATGGGCAAGTTCTTGGGTGCCAGGTGGTAAAGTTCATTGTTGAAGAACTGGACACCTGTTTGGTGAGCAACCTTTACTCAAGCAAGGTCCAGAACTAGACGAGATGTGATGAAGATAGTTAGGATGGGAGTGCACTTCATTAGCTGAGTGGTGACACTTAAACTATATCTGATCCTGTTAGTCCTTCAATTTAGGGAATAGTAAGTTCACTAAAAAATTTCAAACAAATGAACCAGTCCAAGGCATTGTCAACAGAGAGACAGGTTCTCTAATATCAACAATTTCCCAGTCATTATATCACATTACAGAGAATAAGAAACCTCTGAAACATTTAAAATGTCTTTCATAAATAAAAATGAATAATTAACTATAAACCAGGAGTTACCATCTTGACCCATTGTTGATAGTCAGATATAGTATATAAAAGCATAAGAAAGGCAGGAGACTCTCACAATATCTGCAAGGTACACTGTGTTATTTATTTTGGATAGAAAATATTTCATCATCATTGTATAAAATAAATTAATCTGAAATTAAGCAAAACATTTAAACATACGGCAAAACTTACCTTCCAACCTCTTCCAAAGTCTCCTGCCTCTTTTATGCTTTCATATGCTGAACTGCCCTTCCTGTATCTCATACTATGTCATCATGCTGGACTTCCTGCTGGGAAGTATCAGTAAAATGACAGCTCTCATTGCAAGACAACAGCATCATTCATGGTTATAAAGTCACTGAAATACCCACAGCTATGTAAAGAAAGTCCTTAAAATGTGTCTACATGCTATTGTAGACCCTAATACTGCAAAGGGATCAGCACGCTTAGACAATGGGACTCCATAATGGAGTAATGGTCAAGGTATGCAGGATTGGGGCCTAATTTAGTAAACATTTACTTAGTTACCAAAGGTGTCACAACTGCTGCAGTTTCCCTTGAATAAAGATTATTTAATTTCATTTTAATGCACAGAGTAGGAAATGGTTAACTTTGAAACATGATTTCATTAGGCATCTATTTATTTAAAACAAACAATTATCTATTCATTTAGCCAAATCTTCCTCACTTAGACCCTGATCCTGCAGACACATATACAAGGTGAATAGTCCCACTGACCAGTTCAGTGGGATTACGCTGCACAAATGTACTCAGATGTGTAGACCAGGGTATGCTCAAATGTGAGTTTGCAGTGTAGGGACTAAATGAGTATAATTTGGCTCATTTTTGGTTGTATAAATTCAGGGGCAGCACCTGCCTTTTCCCGGTGTGGGTGGCTGAGGTGGGCTAAACAGAAAATTGGGGGAGGTCGGCTGTGCAGAACTGCAGAAGAAAGGGCGGCAATGCCACACCATGCCACCCTTACTTCTGTGCTGCTGCTAGCTGTGGCAGTTCCTTCAGAGCTGGGTACCTGGCCAGCAGCCACCGCTCTCCAGCCGCCCAGGTCTGAAGACAGCACCGCCGTCAGCTGCAGCGGAGAAATAAGGGTAGCAATGCCGTATCATGCCGTCGTTATGTCTGCGTAATGTTTGACCTTTGCACTGGGAGGGGTGGCTGTGGTAAGGCTATGGTAAATTTTGGGGTGGCTATCGCCCCCACAACCCCCACCCCCCAGCACCACCCCTGTATAAATCAGCCTAAGGTAGTAAAAATATAACTGTTGCGGGAAAGTATAGGCAGATTAAACTGTTTTTTCCTCAAATGTATTGAAAGGTAGCTCAAACTCACATTGAGACTGAGGCTTTAATTTGCTTTACTGCTTCAAAATACTTAATTCATGCCACCCACAATTGAAAATGCATTGTTCTTAACTCCCTGGATTCCATGTTATGAAATGAAAGCCTCTGTCGCTTTTCAAAATCTAGCCTTGATATTTCAAAAATCCTTTTAGATCCACACACCTAAAAAGTTACTTACAATGACATGGTCAAATCTATCTTCAGAGTTCTTGTTTATCTGGGTTATTTTTCCCTTAAACACACAAGTTTCATTATTTGCAATGCCCTATGTGAAATCTGAAAACAAGAGGGGATCACGCACACAGAATCCGAGCCCAGGGATGACTGTCCACACCTGAATCTGCCCAATCTAAACAAAGGGGTCAACTGTACCCTGCCTCCACCAGCCATCCAGAGCATCCTTCATTGGGTGGGGAAACCATTACTGGGGAGGGTCCTTGCTGGTGCTGGAAAAGACATGCATCAGCCGCCGAAACACCTTGGAGAATCCACTAAAGAAGAGATATAAAGAGGCTGCAATAGCTTCGCCATATTTCCCATGCCCTGTATGAACCCACCTCATTGGGGATTCCATGGGTAGCCGTTGGTAAATGAAGCCCTGGCATTTCAATTTTGCAATGCCAGGGACCTGGGCATCTAGGCCTGGCCTCCAGGATTGGTGTTCATGGCAATATCAGCCAATCTAGACTAACCTCTGTCTCGGGAAACTCACGTAGTTTTCCTGACCCAATACCCACTCCTGCAGTTTATCCATTAGAGAAGCTGATTTGGCCCAACATTTCTGGACTGCAGGGCCCTTAGGAGGTCCATTCTTGATGTCAACCAGGAAGAAAACCAAAAGGTGCCACTGGCCAAAAATATTGAAAGAGAAGAAAATCATGGCACAGGTGCTGGAGGAAGTGAAGCCCCTTGGGATTCTCCAATGATCAGCTCCTCCTCAAAAGCCACTACTAAGATTTGGAATGAGAAGGAGGTAAGAAGTTAGAATGTCACCATATTTCCCTCCACCCCTGTCTCTCCTTAGCTAATTTTATGTTTAAACAAACCAAGTCCCTAGGGAAGGCTTAGAGATTGTCCAACCTTTCCACCCATTGTCATGTGGGAGCCACACTAATGCAAGATCAGGACTTCCTCCATGAGCTACATGCAGCTGGTTTGAGTGAGGAAAAATAATCCCAGGCATCAGAAGTCATGAATGTGGGAAGCAAAAGTTATTTTGCATAAGTGCCGTGCCTCCAAGTTGGTTCTGCTTTCCATGATTTCTTTCATCCTCTTGGCATATATGGGAGGTTGATTATTCTCTGAATAGGCTGGTCTGCCATGGAACCAGGATCCAGGGTCTCCTAAAGCTTGAAACAATTCAGAGGGCTGTGGATATTTTTGGCTGAATCAGGTCTCAAAAATTCCAAGTGCAAATCAAGACAAAAAACCCAAAGAGCAACAAATCATTTTAATTTACTCTTTGTTCTTTTTAAAAACCTTGCTTGCACTCCCAGTTGTGCTTCACTCTCAAGTAATTCCACATTTGATATATTTACAGTAACTTTTTTCTTTGTTTAGAGGTTTATGGAAATTCCAGCCAACAAGTGGATACTTTGAACTTCACAAAGTCTGTTGCTACTGACATGCAAAATGACTATCATTGTCCTGACTCTTTCCAGGCCATCCTCTACAATTACGTTTCTCCTTGTCACAGTCCTTAAAATAGGAGCAGTCAGAACAGGCTGTGGAACAAAAGTATTTTCCCAAATTTTTATAAATGAGTTTTAAATATTTCCAAAATAATATAACAGACTATGAATAATAATTATTTATAACAATAGTATGGGTTTGTTGAGATGAGGTCAGACGGTCTTCAGTACTGCTGGGCAAACAGTAATTTCACATTGAGGTCTAATGTATCAGATTATATTCAAGAGAATTCACACACTTGCATATTTAGTGCCAAAATTATTCCTCTGATGTCAATCTCAATCTCAATCTCTCTCTCTCTCTCTCTCTCTCTCTCACACACACACACACACACACAGTTACCCTCTTGTTTTCATTACTTGTTAATCACTTTTCACCAGCTCCTTCATTGGTTCTCAGGTCCTGCAGTTAACAATGCTGTTCTTCTGAACAACTCTGATAATTAATTCTCTTGCAGAAAGATGCCAGAGGCCAAGGGACTGAACTTTCACGACTGCCCTCACTTCATTTGGTTTCTTGGAGTAGAGCTCAGTTAAAGTTTTGAACAGGTAAAATCTATTTTTTTACTTTTTGTTTTTGACTTCTCCTCTGGTCACTACTATTGTTAGGTCATGATTATTCATTCAGCATTGACAGTGCATTCAGTACTGTATACAACAGAGAAAAACTTGACTCCTGTTCCAAGGTTATTACAGATGACCGTCATGGCCCCTTATCTTTAGGGAGGAGTAACAAGTATCTACCTCTGAAACTCACATGAAGGATACTTTAAGAAAGCAACACACAGTCCCTTCCCATCTCCCCATCCAGAAATTAAGCATGCATTGTCAAGTCTCAGTCAGTAAGGTTTTGAAAGAGACTGAATTGCCTCCTAAAACATTACAAAACACATTTCTGCCATGCCACCAGACTAGTTGGAGAAAACAAGTTCGTCTGTTATGTTTTATCTCGGCCCTTAAACCATACCCATCTCCATGGCAACTAAGTACCTGGTCAAGAATGAAATCTATTGAGTATTTCTTCAGCCAGTCAGCAATTGAAAGAAATTATTTGATATACACATTTAAAGTCATGATCCTTAATTGTACTTAACATGCTTTGTACAATGTGTATCAGCTGTTACAGTGCCTTCACCACTCACTTGCTCGCCTTGTGGACCTGGTGGCCCTGGATAGCCTTTGTGACCCTGCAGGTAGAAGAGATAAACAGGTGCTGTAATGAATACATGCAGATATGCAAGATGCAGCTTTGGGGGGTCTTGATTTCCCCCTCCCCGCTTTATATTTTTCTTCAGCAAAGAACAATTTTGCAATCTCTCTTTCTCTGTGACATCCACATGGCTTAATTTCAGTAGCTGATGCGGGAGGAGGGAGAAAGAGAAACTTAGCTTAGCATAGATGATTTCTAGCTATGCCTGCTAAACTTGCACCAGTAGTCCCAGATTTGTGTAAGCTTAAATAACACGTAGACAAAATGCCTTTAGCAACAATCAGCTTGTAATTATTGCAAAGCTGGATTTAGTCCAGACTGTTTCCCCATTCCAAATCTTTGTCATAACACTATCTCTGAATGAGCCAGTTCAACGGAGTTAAGCATAACAAGAAGGTCATTGCAAAGAGTTCCAAGAAGCTCTCTAGGAAAAGATAACTGTAAGAAAACAAAAGATTTCTCTTATATGGACTTAATTTTTTTTAATACTCCGTATTATGATGATAGTTTTGCACAAGTAAATGAAACTACCACCTTCCTGACACTGAAGAAAGTCTTCCAGATTATCCTGGCATCTTTAAATCATCAAAGTTTACCATTTCCCCTCTTTATATTGAGCATTATGATGATGATGGTTTGCCTGTACAGATGGTGGGTGAAATCCTGGCCATGTCGAAGTCAAGAGGAGTTCTGTCCATGATTTCAATATTGCCAAGATTTCATCTGGTGCCTCAAGTTTCGGTTTGGTTTCTACACCATGCCAAGAGCTTTGCTACAACAAACTAAACAGCATTACCTAACATGAAATTATAAAAGAGGAGTAATTTTGTTCAGTAATAGTTTTAAATAATGAAAAAGAATCATATCTGTTAAGCTTCAAACTTTGCAATTTTAGCATTATACAGTTGCTTGGGAAATAACGTTAGTCCCAAGGACATGCTCATTAAAAAACCTAGAGGCTCCATTTTCTCCAAACCAGTGTTGCAGGTATTCCCTTACATCTTGCTAAACACTCACACAGCATTGCTAACTTGCTTTAAAGTTTAGATATTACAGTAAAGCAGACGCAAACAACAATCATCTGCAAATCACAAGCTGCAGAGCGTATTTCAACCATACATCTGAGTGTGTCTACACAGTCCACAGAAGCAAGCCTCCCAGCCCAAGTCAACAGACTCAGGTTAATGGGCCTCATGCTAGTGCTCTAAAGATAGCTGTGTAGACAGAGCTTTGAAGTTGCACTTCCACCCCCTTTCCAGGCCTCAGAGCCCAAGGGCTTGTTTTCACTGTGGGGATAAGTTGACCTAAGTTACGCTACTTCAGTTATGTGAATAACGTAGCTGGAGTCAATGTAGCTATGGTCGACTTATCCTGGTGTCTTCACTGTGCTGTGTTGACAGGAGACACTCTGGTCGATTTCCCTAAATCTTCTTGGGGAACTGGAATACTGGGGTTGACCGGAGAGTGCTCTGCCATTGATTTAGTGGGTCTTCACTAGACCCACTAAATTTATCCCTGTTGCATCAATTGCAGCAGCATTGATCTCCCCACAGTGAAGACCAACCCTGAGCTCCAGCTGGACCCGGCTGCAAGTTCAAAAGTGGCAAAAAATAGTCTACACAGCTATTTTTAGAGCACTAGCAAGAGACCCACTAGTCTGTGGCATAGGTATGGGAGAGCGGGTCTTGGACAAACGGGCTGAGAGGGACTGCCTAATTAACATGCCAAGGCATGCTTTAGAAATGCTGTTGGTAAGATCATTAAATTTAAATTAAAGACAAAAGCATGATTAATGACTGCAATGCAAACCTGGAGGGCAAAGCAGTAACACTTTCTTAGGAATTATGTGTAGAATTTTCAAAAGCACCTTAAAAGGACATAAGTTATTTAGGAGCCAAAGTCCCACTGATAGACTTTCAGAGGGATTTGGGTCCTAAGTGGTTTAAGCATTTTTGAGAACAACCCTACATCTTGGTTTTAAAGGATCTTTTAGAATAGGTGCTTACAGAGGAAATGTTCAAATGTTTTAATATCTGGACCAGGAAAAAAGGGAACTACGTTTGTTTTGAGCTAAAAGGAAAGTATGTGTAAAAAGAAAAGCTAATAATATCTGTAGGTTGATTGGAGGATAAGATACTCCCCAAATTCTAATGAAGACGCTCACATTTGGACTTCAAAGGCAAAAACAGAAATGGAAGGGCTTGAGCTCCTGGTTACACCAGCACACCCACTTTGTGGGCATGTTATTGGCACTCAGAGTGACAAGAGTGCTTTGGTCTCTGAGAGAGAAAGGACTCTACTGCCTAATGGAGTAATGTAGCCTCGTCTTCGTAAGCGGCCACGTTTAAGGGGCTGTTATTTACTATATGTTTGTACAGTACCTAGCACAATGGAGCCTCAACCTTGCTAAGGCCTCTTAACATTATATCAATATAAATATTAAACAACAACAACATTGGGAGCTCAGCAGTGTTTTCCATTGTTTCCATAGAAATTCCAGTGGCATAGGGTTGGGGCAGTTGCTGGCTGGTTACAGCAGCCTCCCAAGAGAGACAGAGGAATGGGCAGGTAATTACAGGAATGCAGGAGGATTTGGTCTTCTCTGAACAGTGCCAAAGAAGAGTTGAAAAAAGCCACTGTGGGCACGTGGTGAGCACAACGAGCTATACGACTGTAGGCGTTTTTACAGAAACCTTTGCCATGGGTGCCATGGGAATGAAGAACTGCTTTGCAAATAGAACTAATACCAGCATTTAGATCTAAATCAATATTAAAAACTGGACACAAATCAACACATAAATGGAAAAGCTGAAACAGCTGGACAGTTGTTTTCCAAAATGTTAAGAAGGTCAAAGAACAATGCAGCAATATAGATGAATGACATACATGACACAATACCATTCTTATTCCTCTATGACAAATAGTGTATGGACTAAAAGTGGCATAAAATTAATCCTATGTCAGCATAATGACGGGAACAAAAATGTAAAAGAAATAAGCTCATCCCATTCTTGCTATTCTCTCATGACTGCAATCCTGCTGTCCTCTTCTGAGGCTGGATCAGACCCATAACACATAACCCACAAACACCACAAGACACAATGTACTCATCAACTCCACATTTTCACCATCTGACACAATTTTGAAACACTTATTTGGTCTCCATGCACCCTCAGATTAGAAATGTGTTTGGTTTCTTTGTAGATCCAGCGTTTCTTGTCTGTGAGGCATGTAAATAATATAAATCAGAGTCTCTGGCTAGCACGTGCTACCTGTAGTATTATAATGACAGAAGGCTTCACCCTCACTCCAGCCCTGGGTTTTTGTTTTGTTTTTTTACACCAGCCTGGTGTCAGGGCTACACAGTGCATTAGTCTCACAAGAGGGGTGTTCGTTCTAATGTGTGCTACTGAGTTGTGCACTAACTGGCCTGTGTGGACCCTGCTGACATGCACTAAAAGCTCCCTAGTGCACATTAATGTAGGCCCTTTTCAAATAGCACTATCGTAACATGCACTAGAGAACTTTTAGTGAACTCGAGCAGGATCCACATGGGCCAGTGAGTGTGAAACATTCTAGTGCACACTGGAATTGATACCCCTGTAGTGGGTAGTGAAGCCCTTAGATTCTCAAACTCCCAGGATTCAATATTTCAAGGGTAAAAATAAAGATTTACTTCCTTTAAGAAAATAGGCCTGTGTCTCATCTCATTGGTATAAATCAGGAGTAACTGCACTGAAGTCCTGGTGCCTGGGGAGAGTCGGTCTTTGTGTCTCCAATGGATGAGGCTGTTCTAAGGATTCTATCATGGGCCCAAGCATCACATTGCCTCCAAATAGTTGCTTTTCAATACCTCTGAACACTCCTGCATGGATTTTCCAGGCACATTCTACATGTAGGAGGTCTTATTTCATGTCTAACTACTAAAATAATGCTGTTATCATGCTTCCGTTCATAGGACTTATTAAAGGAAAATGCCCATGATTACTCAAAATTTCAGAAACCTACAATCCTGTATCGAAAACAATGGGAGTGTCTACTTTAACAAGCTAATGTGGTATTTTACGACAATATCCAACACTGAATCCATAGCAGCTTCTCTCTTCCCTGATCAGGCAGGAAACTCAATTAACTGAGATGGAAAGAGTTCCTTGCTCACTGATATCAATGAGGAAAGCAATAATGTTTTTAGGTGGCAATGAAGTTTGGTTTGAAATCTTTTGTCTGTTTGTTTGCTACATTTGATAGATGTACATTTTGTACAGCAATAACATACACCCTGAGAACGAGTGCTCATATGGGAGCCTTTCCCCTTCACATGCTTTGCAGGGGATGGGAAAGAGGTTGAAAGGAGGGGTCTCCTCTCTTTATGGTCTAACTCCACAGTTAATCTAAGGCTTAGTCTACACTAAAGTTTTGCCTACCTACGTCGCCTCGGAGCATTAAAAAATAATCATACCCCCAGCCGACATAGCTATGCCTGCAAAACCCCGCAGTGTAGATGCAACTATCTAAACAGAAGAATGCTTTTGTCACATAACTAATGTCATTTGGGGAGGTGATGCAGCTATGCTGGCAGAAGAACTCCTTTTGCCGACATACACTGTCTCTCTACTAAGGCGCTTTGCCAGTACAGCCATGCCGGCACAGCTCTACCAGCAAAGGCTCTGCAGTGCCGACAAGCCCTGGAACTAATCTGAAAGGTAAGTATCTTGCTCTTTATATTACTGCTGCAACCAGACCTTCACTTTAACATGGAACCAACAAAGAATCTGAGAAGGGCAGCGGGCCTAATATTGCTGTCACACCACTTTTACACTAATGTAATTCTGTTAGCTTTATTGGTGTTGATCCTGATTTATAACTGGTGCACAAGAGGAAAGAATCAGGTCCAGTGTATCTAACAGGGAGGAGCAATCAAAAGCTAATTTACATGAATGCCATAGCAAGTTTCAGTGAAAGTTTTAGAGTTGTTAT